CAAACATTCAGAGAATTCAAACAGCAGTAAAAATAACCGGACACTGAAAAACTTAAAGCAATGTGTGACGCAATAAAAGGAAGCAGCGCAGTATATTCACTGAATTATCATCAATTACAAAAGAGAAAAACAACGATTTCTAAGGATTATTTTCTTAAATGCAGTTAGAGTGTGGCTGGTAAAGATGGAAATACACAACAGATCATATTTTTTCTTTCTTATGATTTGCTTTGAGAACGAGCTGGCTATTCACAGTGAAAATCTTGTCCAACAGGTACAGCTGGGTCTTCCAGCATTTGGGTTGTACGTGAAGGAGAGGATCTTTCACTTTATAATCTTTTCACTGTGTCTGGAAACACAAAGTTCTTCTGCAAGGAAAATGTGAGCGAGCAGAAAACATCCTCATTAAACAGATGAAACCACAGCTCAGAGCGGCAGATACAGCATTAAATACAAAGATGCAGCTTCAGGAAGAGGAAGCCTGACTTTTACCATCACAAATATGAGAAAGTCTGACTCAGGAATGTACCGGTTTGGTTTGGGTAAATCTTCAGCTCCAGATTCATACTCAGACTTTGAGGTCAGAGTTTCAAATGGTGAGTTTCTACTAAAAGTTACTAAAGTCAAAATTGGGAAACCAATCACCTACTCTCATACCTCCATAAACTCTCAGGCCAAATACAGTCCTATTTAAACTTAGTCACTTTATGTATTTATTATATAATTCATGGATGTTCATCTATTTAACAGAAATTGCTAAAAACTCTAGAGTCTCCCGTGCACAGAGTGAGGAGAAGAAATCTATTCATTGCCATGCTGTCCAGCACAGAGGAATTTGTAAGAATCATTAGAAGGATACATGACAACTATGAAATGAGCATCCATAAAGGATTGCGTTTGAACTTCAGGCAACATCAGACATCTGACCAAGTCTGACACGGGACAGTACAGGTGTGGTTACGGGGACCCTTTATCTCCTGATTCATATGACACTGAAATTATTTTGGTTGTAGATGGTAAGTTTCTTTTCATAATAATAACAATTCTTGATATGTTGATATGTTGTTGTTAAAATCTTGCAAATTAGGGATTAGATTAAAATTCATAGTAAAAGATGCCAGTCTTTCTACAATTCTCTCTGTTTTGTCCTTTTTCTGCCCGTCCTTTCCAGCACTGTAGCAATCAGAATTATTGTTTGAAGACCAGGAAAATGCCCAACAGATTTATTTTACCAAGTGGACCATCCTGGCTTTTGATATACTGGTAGATGGTCAGGTGGCCAGGAGAGGAAAGAGGTGCAGTGCTTTCCCTGCACCTGTAAATTGTTATTATAATTTTTTAATTATGATTAAAATAATCCCACTATTGTCCTCTCTCACCTATTCACAGACATTTGGGACATTATTGGACACAATATTCATTGTAATTGGGTCTTTTTCAGTTACGTTGTTAAATATATATGCCCCCCTGGAAGCGATATTTATTTCTTTAAGAAAATTATAGACATGATGGTTACAGAGACAGTAGGTTTTCTAATTGGTGGAGGAGATTTAAATATACATCTATAACCAAAGCTAGATATTTCCAATAGAAAAGCACAGAATACCAAAACATTAATTAAGAATATAAATACATTGATGAAGGAGGTGGGACTAATTGATATATGGAGAAACTTGCATTATACCTATTTTTCCTCACCGCAGTTGTTATACACAAGAATAAATTATTTTATTACCTTTGGGGAAAATAAAGATAGAATAAACACTTGTGAAATTGGAGCAATAGACTTAAGCGACCATGCACCAGTATACCTGTCCATTGATTTAAACCTGCAACCAAAACTCAATAATTGGAAATTAAATTCAAGCTTACTGAATGATCCACACTTCAAAGAACAAATTAAGAAAGAGATTCACTTCTATATGGAAACGAATGATAATGGTGAGGTGTCTCCTCCTATTCTGTGGGATACTTTAAAAGCTGTCCTGAGAGGGAAAATTATAGCAATATAAGCAATTATAAAAAAAAAGATGAGAAATAAAAAATTAGAAGAGCTGCAAAATAAGTTAGAAGAATTAGAGAAAAGGCATAAAAGAAAAACAACACAGGATATATTGGAGGAAATCATCAAAACAAGAAATGAAATAAATGATTTGACTACATATGAAATTAAATTTTTTTTATGTTTCTTAAACAAAGGTATTACGAGGGAGGATCTAAAGCAATGAATGTTTTAGCCTGGAAACTAAAAAAGTAAATAGCAGATAATACAGTTCACAAAATTAAACATCTAGTGACAAAATTAATAAAAAATAAACTAGGAGAAGTTCAGAGTGCATTTGAAACATTTTATAAGACTCTTTATGCTAATAAGACAGAGAGTAGTATAGTTGAAATGAACAGTTTTTTAGACTCTCTCGATTTACCAGTACTGAATGAAGAACAGAATAAAACTTCGATTGAAGATATAACAGAAAAGGAACTAAGAAGAGCAATAAGGAGCTAAAAGAAGAATTAATACCAGTGATGCTTCTCACACTGAATTGGGTCTTAAAGAAGGCTCAAGTACCTTTTAGCTGGAAAGAAGCAATTATCTCTGCTATCCCAAAAGAAAACAAGATAAATTAGAATGTGTGTCATATAGACCAATATCTGTTCTTAATACAGATCATAAGCTGTTTATATCTATCATGGCTAGACGATTACAAAAGTTCTTACCTAGTCTAATTCATAATGATCAAACAGGTTTTATTCGAGAGCGCCAAATACAAGATAATGTACGGCGGACACTACAAATTATTAACCATATTCGACAGAATAAAGTAGAAGCAATGGTAATCAGTATTGATTCAGCATTCGATTCAGTTAATTGGAACTTTCTTTATGGAGTCTTGCATAGATTTGGCTTGCATGAAATAATAATTAAGACAATACAGGCACTTTATGATAACCCTACGGCAAGGATTAAAATTAATGGCTACCTATCAAATAGTATTAAGCTGCAAAGAGGAACAAGGCAGGGCTGTGCGTGCTCACCATTATTATTCACGTTATATCTGGAACCATTGGCTCACTATATATGGCAAAACAAAGAAGTAGAAGGTATTAATATCCATGAGAAGGAGCATAAATTATGGAGTGCCAGGACTGCCATAATGCATTAATTAAATACACCATTAAATAATTAATTAAATGTGGCAATAATTAATTAAATTGGAATTAATTAATTAAATAAATAGTTATGACACATGTAATTAATTAATTATTGACACATTTAATTAATTATTTAATGGTGTATTTAATTAATTCATTATGGCAGTCCTGGCACTCCATAATAAATTAGCCTGCTATGCAGATGATATTTTAATATTTTTGGGTCAACCATCAAACTCTCTACCTAAATTAATGCAGTTATTTGAATACTTTGGTCGACTATCAGGATATAAAGTTAATATGAGTAAAATACAATTGCTTAAGTACAACTATATTCCATCAGAAGAAATTAAAAATAAGTACCAATTAGCATTAAAAAACGCAGGCCATTTTTTGATTTTGACGGTGTTAACTACTAGAAGACTAGAGGAAATATTAGTTATATTAATGGAAACAAAACACACTCCTTACATGCCTTTTGTATTTTTTTTCTGTTTTTCTTCCTTTTCTATTTTTCTTTCTTTTTTTCATTTTTCTGTTTTTCTTCTTTCATTCCTTTTGTATGGATATTTTAGTTAGAAATAAGACCCCAAGTAATTGGGTCTTTTTCAGTTTAAACCTTTTGCAAACATATATGAGATTCTTGACAGGTTCCAGTCACACTTTAAAGAACAGTATTGTGCTGTATTCTGTCTTGTTCTCTATGAAACATGTCTAAATGGAATCTTAGAAATTGAATTCAGATCTATGAAAGTGAATATAAATAAGTCTGCTTTTTGATTTTTCTATAATGGGCTCTGTGTTACAGTGGTGACTTACACTTCTACTCAGGTCTGTGCTTTCAAAGGATCAACAGCAGAAATACACTCCAAATTCAGATACCTATCGACTATAAATGACATAAAGACAAGAATCCAGAAAATGTTCTGGTTTACTACAGTCAAAGATAATGAGCCTGTGGACCTGAAAACAGATCCAGAGTATTCAGGTCGAGTTCAGTATCAGTGTGAAAACAATGACTGCACTCTGAGAATCTCAGACCTGAGAGAGAGCGACTCAGCTGAGTACAAGTTCATGCTCATAAACGATCCAGGAGGGAAATATACTGGATCACCTGGAGTCACTTTGACTGTTACAGGTAAAAAATATTTGACTGGAATTCACGTTAAACATTTCCATGTGTATTTGTGCAGATGTTGAGATATTTCTGATATAATGTCATTGTTTTTTTTACTCCCAGATCCACAGCTCCAGGTACATGTGAGGAGATCAACAGTAAACTCTTATTCTAACTGGACAGAGCTGACATGTCACAACAACTGTCAGCTACCCGATCAATCTTCCTACATCTGGTACAGAAATGGACACAAACTTTCATCAGACAACAATATTTACAGCTGAACACATTTGATTCTGCAGACCGTTTTTACTGCGCTGTGAAAGGATATGAGATATTCCCTTCTCCAACAGTGTGTGAGTTCACTACTTTTTGTTTCATTAAGAGAATTATATTTAATTTTTCTTTATTTACGTGAATGTGTCTGTATGTTAGTTTTAGTCAGAGGCCTTTCTTTTGGGAGGTTTACAATGTTTTCTTTTTAGAATATAAATTTCTAAAATTTGGTTTTGTTGTCATTCTTATGTTTCCTCCTCCAGATGCTCCAAAGCTTCCCTCTGTGTCAGTGAGTCCCTCTGCTGAGATAGTGGAGGGCAGTTCAGTCACTCTGACCTGTAGCAGTGATGCTAACCCAGCAGCTAACTACACCTGGTACAAGGAGGATGTCATCAACCCTCTCAGTTACCAAAACCAACATGTTTTCAGCTCCATCCTGCCCTCTGACTCTGGAAAGTATTACTGTACAGCTGATAATGACCTGGGAGAAAAGAGATCTGAAAGCAGGACTATTGATGTGAAATGTGAGTAAAATACATTTATAAGCTTTAAATTCTTTGTTCTCAGTTGAACAGTTAACATCAACTTTAGAGATAAGAGTTAATTCATCATCATGAAGAGTGAAAACAGATTTACTGCACAATCATGTCTGTTTATTACAATATAAGGAAGTTTGACAAGGAAATAAGTAAGGTTTCTGAATGTTACCTTTTATAATTTTTGTAGTGTTGTGAGAAACCTGCAAAGACTTGAGTATATTTATAACCAACCATGTTGTCATTGTCCTTATTTCTCCTCCAGATGCTCCAAAGCTTCCCTCTGTGTCAGTGAGTCCCTCTGCTGAGATAGTGGAGGGCAGTTCAGTCACTCTGACCTGTAGCAGTGATGCTAACCCAGCAGCTAACTACACCTGGTACAAGGAGGATGAAAATTTACCAAAAGCATTTGGACCGAACTTCACCGTCACCAAGTTCAGACCTGAACACAGTGTGAAGCACAGAACAAGCTGGGACGTCATAACTCCACCTTACAGCAGACCATTGTGCCAGGTAATCATTTATATTTACATACTGGATACACTCAGAAAGGAGTGCAGTCAAAAAGTCAGGCACAATCTACATTCATGCACTATGGCTAATTATTGGATGGCACTAGAATTTATAATAACAGATCACTGTCAAAATACCTCAGCACAGATAGAACTGTATTACTACCTAAATGTACACATGTGCAAGTATTTATTTTGCCAAGACGTTTCCCCTTCAGTGTTGTATGGACTCATAGTGTTGCTACAGATAATTAAACCAGAGCTGATGTTAAAAACTTTGCTCTTTTGAATCTACACTAATCCATCATCATCTTTAAAAGCATATGTTTGTATGGTGTCTGTCCTGTGAGGGCCAAATATCTCAAAATAATCATTAATGAGTTCAGAAAACCAGGCCTGCAACTTGATTTACAAAGATAATTTAAATATATTAAAAAGAAAATACCAGCTGCACCTGTAACTGTTCAACTTGCCTGTGTGGTTAAACAGAATATGGCAGGAGTCCCACTGTCTGCTGTCAAGGCTTTCCTTATTCATGTGCTAAAGAGTCCTAAGAATCAACATTGTAACTTATCTATCACGATGACAAGAACCATGTTTATTGCTAATGCTAGTCCTGTTTCCATGCAAAAAGCAGATTGTAACTGATCTCAGAATACTGAAAGCAGAGCCAGTGACACTTTAACCTCCTGTTAAAAACCAGGGATTTATCCATAATGCCCATGTGCACCCAGCCAGATAAAGCTGCAGGCCACTCAGCTTGAAGTGATTTTTAATCGAATGCAGACGAGGCTATGAAATTAAGATGTGCTACAGTTTTCAGTGGAATAAGGGGCGCGCCCAGTTAACCCCGTTTCCAGAGACAATAGCCAACTGCTGCCACTGTAAAGGATGAATGTTTATTGTAGGCTTTTTAATTTACAGTATAAAGTGCATTGAGACAACTGAAATGAGACCTCTAAAAGTTGATTCTGTTCATCTGGACGTAGCGTTTTGTGGGAGAAACGTTTCGTCACTCATCCAAGTGACTTCTTCAGTCTCAGCTGACTGCAGGTTTCAATCTTATAAACAGTACATTTGCATAATGACTGAAACCAGCCCACTGAAGGAACAATGGGCTGGGAGGTCAGTTCCTTAATCATAATTATGCAAATTCTCATGACCATTCATCAACAACCACTGACCAAAACCTACTGATCAAAGCCCACTGATCAATGGCCATGAGTACCATTCACAGAGAGTTGGGGAATGGCTGCAATCACAGCAGTGTAAGATGCTGACAGATGAACCCTTAGGCCCCCTCCTCAATTCAGAGATGGTCTTTCCCTTTTCATGTAAATGGCCTCCTTGACTCCGCACTCAAACCAGCGTTCTTCCTGTCCAGGATGTGTACATCCTCATCCTTGAAAGAGTGTCCACTGGCCTGTAGGTGTAAATAGACTGCAGAGTCCTGGCCTGACGAGGTAGCTCTTCTGTGTTCGCCAGAGGTTGTTTGGGTTCCCCGATGTATAAATCCTGGCAATCCTCCTGGCACTTAAAACCCTCACGTCATCCTTTAAAATACTCACACTTATCACCCTAGGGACCGTTTTCTGCCACGCCCGAAAAAGTGCTATAAAAATTTATATATTAATATTTTTTTCCACTTTAAATTAGCCAATCTTTTAGACCTACTTCTCCTTGAAATATTCATGTCAAGTTTTAATTACATTTCGCGGATTTTAACCCTTTATATCCCGGTTTCGTCACATGAGCGCACTGCTTTTTTTGCCCCAAAAAACAAAAAACTTGAATATTTTCCAAAAAAAACATTTGAGGTAATATTCAATTGTTATTATAATTAGGCCTTTAGATGGACTAAAGATTGGCACCAAGAGTCATTTCGATCGCCTTTTATTTTTTTTTCAGGAGCGCATTTCATAAAATGCACACTATCGACCACGCCCAAAAAGTGCTATAAAAAATTTATATATTAATATTTTATTCCACTTTAAATTAGCCAATCTTTTAGACCTACTTCTCCTTGAAATATTCATGTCAAGTTTTAATTACATTTCGCGGATTTTAACCCTTTATATCCCGGTTTCGTCACATGAGCGCACTGCTTTTTTTGCCCCAAAAACATAAAACATAAAACATAAAATATTTTCCAAAAAAAACATTTGAAGTAATATTTTATTGTTATTATAATTAGGCCTTTAGATGGACAAAAGATTGGCACGAACATTAATTTCGATCCGGTTTTAATTTTTTTTCCAGAAGCCAAAAATGTCCCCAGGCGGCGCTGCTGCTCCTGCTCCCCCGGGGAGGAGTGCCTCTGCCGCGGGTGTGTTTCACGCAGCGCCGGAGCATATGGTTCGGTTCCCGTGTCTGCAGCACACACTTCCGCTACCACGTGAAAACAAATACGTCATTTCCTGTTGATTAAAAAAAAAAAAAAATCAAACGAACCTAAGGGCAGAAAATGGTCCGGAACGAGCAGCGGGCCAAGCTGCTGCTGTACGCGGGAAATTAGTCTGCCTTTTCCGGGTATCTGTCTCGAGCAGGCCGCTGGAGAACATGTGTATGTTCCAGCAGGCGTCACATGTGGAGCAAGGGCGCCACCCGGTGGACAAATAAAAAAATTACAACTCTAAGGCCAGTACTGCAAGCGGAAGCGGAAACATAACCGAAGACGATCGATTTGACCGTAATTTTTTTGCCGTGAAAAATAGCGTTTATAATGGGTTTCAATGGGGCACAAAACGGTCCCTAGGGTGTTGAGTGTGAGTATTTTTGCTGCTAAGCCGTGTTAGGCTGATGTAAGAAAATCAGACTGAAAATTTGAAGATTTTACAAAAACGAAACCGGCTGGCAAGTTTGGCTATGCTACACCCAACACAGCGGAAATGGCGTTCATACGAATGAAAAAAGTGGCACAAAAAGAGCCCAGTATGACGTGAGGGTCAGCGTACACTATGTTAATCTGTTTGTGTCGGGGGACCCGATCCTTGGGGTGGACCAATTCTTTTTGGCACAGCGTGTTTTGGGATTTAAAAGCCACAGAGACCCGGTGTTTAGACAATATGCGTCTCAACTGTTCCGATACTCCTGACACATACGGGATCACTACAGGTTTTCGCTTGGGCAGCGGTTGTCCTTCTCTCCTGGATCAGCTGGAGCTTTTTTAGGTGCCTTCCCAGCTTTGACAAAAGTCCAGCTGGGATAACCAGATTTACTCAGGTCCTTCTTGATGTGCTGTTCTTCTGCCTCGCTGGCCGCTGTGTTAGTGGGGATGGTGTTCACTCTGTGTTGTAGCATCCTGATGACACTCAGTTTGTGCTCCAGTGGATGATGAGAGTCAAACCTTAAATACTGATCCGTATGCGTAGGTTTACGGTACACGTCAGCTTTTAGATGTCCCCCATTACTGATGTAAACCTCACAGTCTAAGAAGGCTAACCTGCCACTTTTCATATCCTACCTGGTGAATTTGATGTGTCAGTCCACCGAGTTAATGTGATATGTGAAATGTGGTACGTCCTGAGATTTGATTTTCACCCAGGTGTCATCCACATATCTGAACCATCCACATATCTGCTATCCTACCCTGGTGGTGTTCCAGGGTAGGATAGCAAAGCCCTCTTTTCCATTTCTTCCATGTACAAATTGACCACGATGGGTGAAACTGGTGAGCCCATGGTACACCCATGTTTCTGCCTGTAGAACTGACCCTTGAAGACACACATGAAAACACAGTTCCAAAAGCAAACACACTTGGTCGATGCTGAGAGGGGTCCTGTTGCTGAGGTTGGTGTCATCCTGTAATCTCTTACAGACTACCTCCAACGCTTCCGGGACTGGGATGCAAGTGAAGAGAGATGTAATGTCGTAAGAGACCATCAATCAATCAAAATCAAAATTTATTTATATAGCACATTTTTAAGACCGAAGTACACCAAAGTGCTTTCCATTAAAATCACAGTACAAATAAAATCACAATAAAATATAAATTACAAATATATAAAATATAAGATAATTACATAATCTAAATACAGAGCCAGATGTAAATTACCCTAATTCGCCTTAAAAGCCAGATCAAACAAATACCTTTTTAAACGTGATTTAAAAGACTGAATGGAATCTGACGCGCGAATATGAAGAGGGAGAGTATTCCATAGCCTGGGTGCAGCAACGGCAAAGGCACGGTCTCCTCTGGTCTTCAGCCGAGACCTAGGTTGCACCAAGAGCAGTTGGCCCGATGATCTTAGTGCTCTCTGAGGGCTGTACAGACAGAGGAGATCAGCTAAGTAGTCAGGTGCCATATTGTTCAAAATTTTATAAGTAAACAATAGAGTTTTAAAATCAATTCGATATTTGATAGGAAGCCAGTGTAAATTTTTCAGAACAGGGGTGATAGAGTCAAACTTTCTAGTGCCGGTCAAGAGACGTGCTGCGGCATTCTGGACCAGCTGCAGACGCTGCAGAAGAGAAGATTGTAGACCCAAGTAAAGTGAGTTACAATAGTCCAGTCTTGACATAATGAAAGCATGAATGAGTTTCTCCATATCTTTGTGTGGTATGTAGGGTTTAGCCTTAGAGATTAGGCGTAGTTGATGAAAGCTAGTTTTTACCACAGTAGAGACCTGTTTGTCAAGTTTGAAGGAACTATCCATGAAAACTCCAAGATTCCTGGCAGTATCAGTAAGGTAGTTAGCAACAGGCCCAAATGTGTCAGAAACCATGGTTTCATCTGCCTCATAATGGTAAATGGCCTGTATTTGTATAGCGCTTTTCTAGTCCCTAAGGACCCCAAAGCGCTTTACACAACCTGTCATCCACCCATTCACACACACATTCACACACTGGTGATGGCAAGCTACAATGTAGCCACAGCCACCCTGGGGCGCACTGACAGAGGCGAGGCTGCCGGACACTGGCGCCACCGGGCCCTCTGACCACCACCAGTAGGCAACGGGTGAAGTGTCTTGCCCAAGGACACAACGACCGAGACTGTCCAAGCCGGGGCTCGAACCGGCAACCTTCCGATTCCGATTAATGACATCTCTCACCTTCTCAACACAATCCAGGGTGTTCTGGATGTGGTGTACAGAGCTGCAAATCTTAATTTACATAATTAAGATTAAGGAACTGACCTCCCAGCCCATTGTTCCTTCAGTGGGCTGGTTTCAGTCATTATGCAAATGTACTGTTTATAAGATTGGGGAAACCTGCAGTCAGCTGAGACTGAAGAAGTCACCTGGATGAGTGACGAAACATTTCTCCCACAAAACGCTACGTCCAGATTAACAGAATCAACTTTTGGAGATTTACTTTCCTGGGTGATTAAGAATGCATCAAGACCTTCGGAGGTGGGGTGCCCCCGGCCTCTCGGCCTGGGGCTCGGTCACTCAGGCGCGGCTGGCTGCCGGCGGAGCTCACGGGCGCGTCACTGCAACTCCCCCTGGCTTCTGCTCCGCGGCTGCTGAGTGAGCCCTCATCTGGGACTCTCCTCAGCTCTTTCCGGGACAGTGGCGCAGCTGCCCCTCTGTTGGTCTTCCTTGGTCTCTTGTGT